GGAGCCCCCCAGTGCCTCGCCATCAAAGCTGGGAGGGGCCACCTTAATCGTCAGCACCGGGACTTGGAAGGGAGCTGGGATCATCCCACTGCACAGAGCCAGCTCCGTAATTCAGTTTTAAAGCATGAAAAAAGGGAGTTGATGAAATTCCGCTATCAGCGCCAAGCCAATATGCAAAATATCTCACCCCCAATCAAATAGCTATTATGTTTTCATTTCCATTTTGGCGTCCGGCTTAATGAGCAGGAGACGGATGGGCGCGCGGGTGTCTGCTAGCTGTGATAACCAAGGGGCTCCGGGCACCGCAGGGGCTGAGCCCAGCGCTGCCCTGGCCACCGGTGACCACCACCATGGCCTGTGGACACCCCCAGGCAGGTGCGGCCTTGGCTGCTGACCTCTCCCGGGCCAGGCCATGGGGCTAGCATCACCCTCACTGCAGGTGGGCCCGGGGCGAGGGAGGTGTGGGGGCTGTCTGGCCTGGGGAAGGGCTGTGTGCTGGGTGCAGGTCTGAAATCCAGCCCCAAGTTCCTATCCCACCGCCCCCACCACTGCCTCCTCGCCAGGGGCCCTGGACAGGGCAGCTCACAAGTCGGCCTTGCTGGGCCTTGGTTTACTCACCTGTAAAGTGGGCATGACTCGGCTTCCTGCTGTGGGTATTGGGATGTGGCTGGCGAGTGGGATTTCCACAATGGCTGCCCCCAAGGTCCTGCTTACCCTACTTCACTCCACCCTGCCACAGCCATCACCAAGTCCGTGTCCTGGTCCCCCGTCCTCCATGCACCCTGTCCCCGTGCACTTTCCTGACCGCCCCTACCTGCTGAGGTCTGAGTGGGCCGCCACCCTCCACACCCCAGGTTCCCCATCCGAAATGGAATTGGACGACCACCTCGCTGGGCTACGTGGGTGGGGGCAGTTACGGGTGGGCACTTGTAGAGTGCTGAGCGCCGCCCATCCGGTCTTAACCATTCACACCCTCGCCCATTTCCCAAAATCTGTGCTAGCCACAGTTCATGTTCACTGAGCACCTGCCCCATGTCGGGCTCTGAGGATGCGAGCAGGCTGCACGTTTCATCTCCTGAGATGGCAGCTGCTGTGGCTTCATCTGTAGACCAGGAAACAGCACAGAGAGTGGAGTGACTTGCTCAAGGTCACACTGCAAGGACGCAGCAGCTGTCAGCCTGCCTGGCCATGGGTTGGCTTGCTCCGGCTGTTGGCACAGAGAGAGGGTCCCCAAAAAGGCCTGGGGGAGTCTTTGCTAGCCCAGGGGGAGAGCGGCAGAGAGGAGATGTAGCTCACAGATGCCCCCAGCCAGTGGGGGCCCAAGTGCTCTGTCGCCCATCTGGACAGTCCCCATGGACCCCCGGTGGACCACAGACGGGACCGGTACTGACTCGGGCTCAGCGGGGACCGGGCAGCTGCTCTCAGATGCTGAGGCAGGCCCAGGGCAGCATCCGCCTCGACACACCCTATTTGTGGGCTGACAATTGTCTCCCGCATTATCAGAGCTGTTTTAATTGTGCTGGAACTGAAATTACCCTGGCAGCCTCTTTTCCACGCTCATCGTCACGGCTTTGTGTAGAGCAGGCGCCTTTGTTCTCCTGTAAATAGGAGAACCCATCGCCAGCCCAGCGCCCCCTGGGTGTCTGAGGCCCACCTGGGTGGGGCATGGAGAGCCAGCCTGCCTTCCTGGGGCTGCGGCAGCTATGCACAGGGCTGCGTCTCCTGTGGACCCCAACCCCAGTGCTCTGGTCCCCAAAGTCCCTGAAAGCAGGTGGCCTCGAGCCCATTTGCCAGAGCAGGCGACTGAGGCCCTGAGGCCCTACAGCTGCTCAGCAGGAGGGACCTCAGCTCCTGGGCGGCCCCTCCGAGCTCCATGACAGCCATGGAAAGCACAGGCCTCTGGAATGGGGAGGAGCCGGGCTGAGCTGAGTGCTTCACGTGCTGCCGTCAAGGCGGGACGGCTGAGCACCTCCTGGCCTTGTGGATGGCATTGCCCAGAGGTGGGGGGGTGGGGCGGCCATGGCTGCTTTTCTGCCCTGGCGTGTGCTGAGGGAGGGCACTCGGATTGGGCCTCCTGTCCCAGGGGCAGGAGTTGGACCGGTCAGGCGTGTGCCCAGCCCGCCCTGGAGGCTGCCCGTGTGGGCGCTTTGATGGGAGGCTGCGAGCCCTCGCCTGGGGCTGGCTCCTGTGTGGTCTGAGTCCAGCCCCCTCCTGTAATTACAGCTCTGAGGTGCTCTGAGGAGGCCCGGACTCATGGGTCCCAGGTAGAACCCCGAAGGCAGCAGTTGGGAAAGTCCAGCCTGTCCCTCCTGTCCAGGACCCCCCATGGCTCCCCGGTGGCCCCAGGATGAGGGTCGCCTCCTCCCCGTGGCCTCTGAGGTCAGCACGGCCAGGACCCTGCCTGCCCTCAGCCTTGGCTGCCAGCACACCCTGGCCCCCAAGCTCCCCTTCCTCCACCACCTCTGTCCCCGCCCGGGGCCTTTGCCCATGTGGCCCCCTCTGCCACAGCTGTCTTTTCAGGGGCTGGTCTCGCAACAACCACGCCGTTCCCTCCAAGATCTGCTGGTGGCAGCCCCTCCCCTCCCCATGTTTTTTTCTCTTTCTCTCATGGCTCCTTCCCTCACTGCACTTCTAGAACTTGCCATTGTTTTTGGTCGGGGCCCATCGGTGGTTCTCTGACTGTCCCCACAGTGGCCTGGACGCCCCAGTCAGTGTTCAGCGATCTGGTGCACCCCTGCATCCTGGAGGGGCACCTGGCCCTCAGGTGTCAGCAGAAGGCAGAAAAGGCGTCTGCCCCTCTAGGAGCAGTTTGGTTTGATGGCATCAGCCAGCCACAGCCTGCTGATGATCAGAGAGGGGGCTGGAGTCCAAACACAGAAAATCCACCTTCCCACCTCCCTGCTGCGTGGAACGGCGGGGTCAGCCTCGGACATCAGCCTGAAACTCAGTCACAGCATTTCTCATTCTCTCGCATCTTTGGGGGTCTCTGACATGAGGCAGCCTCTGAACCCGGCATTGGACACTGGCGGGTGGCACGTTTGTTACTGGCTGGGCAGGTGTTTCAGGCGTCAGCAGGCTCCAGCTCTGACCTGCCCTTCTCCCTCCCATCTTCTGCCTTTCCCTGGAGACACGGAGCAAAGCAGGGAGCATGAGGGGCTGTGAAGGAGGACAGCGGGGATTCAGAGAGAAGCTCCTGAAGCTGGGCACAAGTGGGCGCCTCGGCGTGTTTTTCTGGGGAGGAGTCACTGGGTTTCATCAGATTCCCAGAGGGGCCGTGAGGCAAGAAAAGCCAGAACCACCAAGCCAGAGGCACACACCCCGAACAGTTCTCCATCCGTGCGACTTGCTCGCCTCCAGGGATGGGGAGCTCAGCCCTCAGGAGGTGGTGGTTCCAGCCTGCAACGCTTAGGCCTTCCTTCTGGTCTGTTCTTCTGTTCTGCCCCACCCCCCCTCTGCCAGAGAAGCCCACTCTGCCCCTTCAGCTCCCCTGACACATGAACTCACAGACACTGACGCGGTTTCTAGACTTTTCTTCTTCGTATTCTGCTGTGACTTGGGAGCTGCAGGACCTGGGGCCTGGGCTCAGGAGGGCCTGGGCGCCTCCCACTCCTGAGTGGGTCTGGAGGCTCTGCCCCCATCGTGCCTCACACAGGACAGTAGAAGGCTGGGCAGGGCAGCCCAGGCCTTGTGGAGGATGGGTGCGGAGGGGGCAGTCCCAGCACGCCGACTGAGTCAGGGCCTGGGGGCCCAGGGAGCAGTTAGGCAGGATACGGAAGGACACCTCTGTCCTCTGTCCACACTGGACACCATCACCCGTCACCAGCCCCGTAGGCAGACATCAGCACGCACGCCTGCACTCAGCGCCACTCCACAGCCACTGTGGGGTCCGGGGCAGCTGCCCCCACACTTGGGCCACATGGCCTTGTCTCAGTCTGCCTCATCACCTGTAAGGTGGGCTCCTGGAGTCCCCCACCCCGATGTGTGAGTCTCTGAGGGGCCCAGGCCCTGAGGCACTCCACCCACCGGTGCTGCAGACACCTGTGCCCTGCTTGGTTTGTTCGCTCAACAAGTCCGTGAGCGTCTGCTTTGTGCAGGGCCTGTGCTGGGCGAGGGCGTCACCCCAGGGAATTCCCAGACCGAGGGAATGAGTGTGAGGGAAGCGCACGGGGACTGGGCCCCTGGGCAGGGCATTGGAGGATGATGCCGGGCGGAGGCCGTGGTGATGGCGACCCTCGGGGCCTGGATGGACGCTGGGCCTACAGGACAGGGAGGGCCCCCTCGCTGCTCCACGGCTGCCAGAGTGGGGGGGACCTATCCCCTGGTGCTGGGGGGAGTAGGTGGGAGAGAGACACAGGGGTTGTGACTCTTCTCTGGCAAGAGTGGAATCCGTGGGCACAGCGGAGGCCAGGGGTCAGGGCAGGTAAGGGTGGGTGGAGCCGATCCTGCAGCTTTGGAATTGTTGCAGAGGATGGGGGTTCATCAAGGATCATCAGGTCGTTTTTTTTTTTTTGAGACAGAAGTCTCATTCTGTCATCCAGGCTGGAGTGCAGTGGTGCAATCGCGGCTCACTGCAGCCTCCAACTCTCAGGCTCAAGCGATCCTCCCACCTCAGCCCTCCTAGTAGCTGGGACTACAGGCGTGCGCCACCACACCCAGCTAATTTTTGTATTTTTTGTAGAGACAGGGTCTTGCCATGTTGCCCAGGCTGCTCTCAAACTCCTGGACTCAAAGCAATCCTCCCACCTCGGTCTCCCAAACTGCTGGGATCACAGGTGTGAGCCACCATGCCCAAATGTCAAGTCTCGAGGGACCCAGAGGGAGCCCTCGGCTAACAGCCACCTGGTCTCTGACCTCGTAGGGGTGGATGACCTCACCCCTGCCCAGCTGCCAACTCCACCTGGGCACCAGGGCTGTGCCTATGCCAGGAGGGGTCAGGAGGCAGGAGGCAGACACCGTCTCCCCAGAGCTCCTCCCGAACCGCCTTCGTCTTGTGTCCACAGGTTCCCTTGGAGACATGGAGGCCGGAGAGGAGATGCAATTGGTGGGCACCAGCCACACGGAGCAAAAGGCCACGGCGCCTGAAGCCCCGAGCCCTCCCAGCACAGGTGAGTCAGACTGAACCCTCTCACCATGCCTCCAGCTGGGGCCTCCTGCTTCCCCGTACCATGCACTCAGAGTTCAGTGGTGTCTGAGCGGTGTGGGCCAGCCATATGCAAGAGTCCAGGACAGGCGTCTTCCAGCCGGAGGCCTGTTGCCCAGAGGCCCTGGGTGGGGCTAGGGGGTCTCCGGGGAAAGGGAGATGTGCACACCTACCGCATGTGCGGCCTGAAATCCGGCCCTCATACAGATGAGCAGACCGAGGCCCAGGTGGGGCAGGTCTGGCCCAGGGTTGGACAGGAATCCATGCCCCTCCCAGCCTCAGTAAACCCTCTGTGAAGTGGGGACCACGAGGCCCCCTCCCTGGGGCTTGGTGAGCTGAGGCCCCTGCTGGCATGCTGCTTGGGCTGAGTGCACAGTGGGTGCTGGGTGCAAGTGAGTGCTGGGTGCACAGTGGTTGCTAGGTGCACAGTGGATGGGTGCTGGGTGCACAGTGGATGGGTGCTGGGTGCACAGTGGTTACTGGGTACAAGTGGATGCTGGGTGCACAGCAGATGGGTGCTGGATGCACAGTGGATGCTGGGTGCAAGTGGGTGCTCGGTGCACAGTGGTGTCTCCTGCTAAGGCAGCACACCCCACTCACAGACCAGAGAAGTTTGGTGACTTGCCAGGGTCATTCAGCTGGCAAGTGCCCCAGTGGGGGTCCCACCCAGGTCTGGGTTTAGCCTGATTTCCTCCACCCTCGTCGGCACCTCCATACTCCCTGGGCCCTCCTGGTGGCCAATTCCATGGGGCAGGGCATTTTGCAAGCCGAGAAGAGGGCCTGCCCTCCCAGGAGAGAGTTAACCTACCATAAGGAGGTCTGCTAGAGACAGCTGTACCCCAGACACACCCAGAGACCCTGGGAGAAGGGGCCTCCCTGGGACAGAGGTGCCAGGAGAGGTCAGCATGCTCACCCCCTTTTTCCAAGGTCTGAGAGAGACAGCAGCAGGTTGTGGGGTGGGCTCTCCCCAGCTCCCCCACACTCCACTTGCAGCCCCAGGCACCAATCTCATACCCGTGCCATGAAACCCTTTGCACACAGACTGTGAATTACCCTCACTCCAACGTGCAGGAGATGTGGTCATACCCGGACCGTTTGGGAGGGTGCTAGGTGGGTGACGTAAGCTGGGGTGGAGGAGAGATGGGTGCGTGGGACTGTCCCTGATGGGCGGAGGGATGCCAGGAGGCAGTGACAGCAGGTCCAAAGGCTCCAAGGCCAACGGGGGTGGGGGAGAGGTTACAGAGGGGTCTGTAGCCGAGGGGCTGGGGTGGAGATCCCAGGCAGACCTTGGTCCCTCGCTTGGGAGGGGGGCTTCTCAATGGGGACCCCCACCCTAGCATTTCCCAGTCTGAGTGTCAGAGTCCCCTCTGGGTGGGCCACAGCCCCAGGAGCCCAGCAGGCCTCATCACCCCATCTGCACACACACAGCCTGCTACGCCTGGGCCCCTTTTTCTGGCAGCAGGCCCCGGGGTCACCAGAGCCAGTGGGACTTGACCCCAGGGCTGGGTCCACCATCTCCCCCAGCTCACCCAGGGACATCCCTGCCCCAGGACGGCCAGGCTGGGTGCAGGTGTCCAGCCCAGCATCTGGTGAGGCCTGGGACCCGCTGGCTGCCACTCCTCCCTGCCCTTGCTGCCATCACCATTGGCACACACTGCTTGTGGTGCAGTCAGAACTCTGCCTGGCCGGTCCCGGGGCCGGGCTCTTAACCCTTGCGGAGCCTCAGTTCCTGCACATGTGAGCCGGGTGCCAGTCCCTCAGTGGCTATGGGGAGTGAGCACGTGTGGCACATGTGGACCCCGAGGCCCTTGGCTGTCACCGCCGCCAGCCTTAGTGCCGCACACAGGTGCTGCCGGCCAGCTGCAGGAGCCCTGATGGAGGGGCCACAACAAAGGGCAAGTGGTGGACTTTGGCCCAGGCCGGCTTCCCGGGGAGCCAGGCTCCTTATCTGATCTAGGAGCCAGGGCTGCATGGGGGTGGGGGTGGGGCCCGGGAAGGAGCTGGAAAAAACAACCAGGGCTGCACCTGGCACAGGCCTGAGTGATAGCGTGGCGATGGGCGCGATAAGACAGCAGCGCGGGAGCTGTGTCTGCCGCTTGGCGGGTCCAGTGAGGCTCCCTCGCAGTGGCTGGAGCTCAGATGCCAGCCACTTTGATTTATAGCCAAAAATAATAGGACTTTTATACTGTGTGATTGACTTATTTGATGTTAATCACAGCCCTTATCGCGGGTATTAATAATCTGTGGGCATGTGACGTCACGGGGTGGGGGGGGCTTTATGGGATCACATCGATCGGGGCCGAGGTGGTTATCAGGCCAGCTGGGAAGGCAAACATGCCCTTTGGGCTGGAATGGGTGCAGGACCTGGTGGAGGGGCCCCCAGCTGCCAGCAGAGGGGACCGGGGAGCTGGTGGCCGCGTGTGTGCCTGCTGGCCGGGGCAGGCCGGTCGGGTCGGCCATCCTGTGCCCTAATTATCAACAGCAGCTGGAATAACAATTATCATTATAACAATTAATGAGGGATGAGGGGTTTCACAAGACCAAGAGGAAAACTTGGATGTCTGTCTCACCCCAGTGAGAGTGAGCCAGGAGGTGGGGGTGGCTCTGGGCCCGAGCTCCCCAACCCGGTGCCCAGTGCCTCAACATCCCTCCCAGCCACAGGGAGGGGCAGCTCAGTGCCTGGCACTCAGCGGGGATGTGACGGTGTTTTCCTCTCTGCAGATGTTAGCTCACCCCCACCGCCACCGACCCCCACATCCCCAGGAGGCCCCAAGGAGCTGGAAGGACAGGAACCGGAACCCAGGCCCACGGAGGAAGAGTCGGGCAGTCCCTGGAGCGGGCCAGGTAACCATGTGGGCAGTGGAGGCAGCAACATCGCCTCCCGGGCAGCCTGGCCCGGCCCCCGGGAACAGGGCCACGTGGGTGCTGGGGCAGGTGTGTAGGTTGCTGGAGACCCACCAGGCCCAGGCCTGTGCCTAGTCCAAAGCTCAGCCAACCTGTGCAGCTGGTGGTATCGCTGCAGCTTGGCACCCTCGGGCCAATCCCGGGCCTCACGTGGTGTACAAGGAAGCTCTGGGGGGTTCCCTGGATCAAAGCCTGGTCTGGGCCGCAGAAGAGGAGCTAGTGTGATGGCCAGGAAGGAGTCCTCAGAGGTGGGAAAGGCAGGGAGATGGGAACAGGAGGCTGCATCTCAGCGGCCTGGGCCCGCGGCCTTCCCAGCTGGGCCGGGATTCAGAGCTGTGCTGAGGTGCCCAGGCAGGCACTCAGGCCTGAAGGGCAGGAGAGGACCCCACCCCACTCCACAGTGGCTGCAGGCTGTGGGGGACGGAGTCCGAGCCACACTGCCCCGCGGGGCCTGGGCCACAGGGTGTGTCCTAGAGGGTGATTTGGTGACTCTGCTCCGTGATTTGTAGTAGAGTTCTGACCCCAGAAGTCCCACAAACGTGTTCTCCCTGTGGCCCTTTCGGGGACTGTGAATTCCATTCATTTATGAACGCAGGGAACACTGGTAGTCAGATTGTTTCTGTTGTTCCTAATAAATCCCGCGGCCTGAGGAACCAGAGTAGCGTCTGGGGTGGCTTCCCAGGGTTGCCCGACCGAGGCCGTCATGAGAGCTGGTGGGTGAGGGAGGGAGGAGGCCCAGCAGAGGCGGAGTGGGGGTCGCAAGGTCCCCATGGAGGAGGGACGGCGTGAGGAGGGGCAGGTGCTCGAGCCAGACGCATGTGCAGATGCAGCAAACATTTATTGAGTGCCTGCTGTGTGCCAGGCATACAGCCGGGAGCAGATGGCCATCGCAGAGCGCGCAAGCGGCCGTAATGACACCAGCAGGGCCCCCATCTGTGGAGAGAAGATGTGTGGTGAGGCGCTCGCCATCCTGAGGAGCAGGGAAGGCTTCGCTGAGGCAGAGGGACCCCATTCCTTCCCGGGGGCTAAGATAGAAAGGGGTCAGCGAGGTCCCAGCAGCAAGGGAGAGTGAGAGATGGGTCCACGGGCCCGCTGGTGCAAGTAGGCAGTGGCACGTGCGTGGAGAGGCCTCTCGTTCAATACAGCCCCTTCCCGCAACGGGACAGCTGGGACCACAGAGAGAGGGGTGGGCCTGGGCAGCCACAGCCAGGAGGATGACCCGGCCCCAAGGGGAAGCTGAGTCACACCTGCACGGGCTGTGGGGCTGCCCAAGGCAATGCTGGGGCCTCGTGGCCACCGGTCCTCATGGGCTCCTCCTGCTGTTCCCCAGGAAGGGGGGACCGGGCATCCAGCACAGCAGACGATGTGGCTTACCCACCTGGGACCCAAAGATGGTGGGGGGCCCAGGCGCCGTGGCAGAAACGTGCTGGCTGCGTGCCTTCTCCTCAGGGACACCAGGTGGGGGGAGGCCCAGGACACACCTGTCGGGGGTCGGTCAGACGCTGGTGTCTTTGGGGGTCTTGGTCAGGTGCTGGTGCCTCAGGCCCTCACTGCGGGGTCAGCCTGACAGGCCTTTTCACGTGCAGGGCAGCGCTGTGGGGTTGGGAGGGGCCGCCCTGACTGCCTCAGTGTCCCCAGCTGTAGAACAGGGTAGCGGGGAAGGTGCACACAGGCCCCCCTCAGGCCCTCAGAGCTCCCACACTCTATCAGTAGAGACCACCCACACAGTGGCAGGGACCATTGTGTACCTGTGGGACCCAGTTGGCCACTGGGCAGACAGGGGGTGCTGGGCGGTCCTCACACCAGCCCCAAGAGGGGCCGAGATGGTGACCCCAGTCTCTGGAGGAGGAGCCCCAGCCCGGGGATGCAGCACACGTCCACCATCATGCGGCTGGGAGGTGGTGGAGCTGGGTTTGGGCCTGGAGTTCATAGACAGTGGTTTGATCGTCACCCCACGGGTCCCTGTCCACCCCTGCAGTGTTGAGAGGGGTTAGATCATCCTCCTGTTCTCCAGACGAAGGAGGCCCTGGGGGATGGAGCCTGGCGCCGGGAAGGGCTGGGCCCCTGAGGCCGGCCGTGGTTTGGGGCTGGGGCGCACCCCCGAGCTTCCTGTGCTGTGTGCATCCTCTGGACCGGGCGGTGCCCTATCGGCTCCCGCAGATATGAATTTCTGTGCAGTGGGCGGTGATGGGCTGATACGCGGCTGCTGGCCAACCGCTGCAGTGGCCACGGCCTATCAGGCCCACACAGGCCGAGCTATCACCCACGGGGAAGCCAAGGAGGTTCTGTGGGCTCTTATCTCTCAGGGCGGCCCGTGCGTCGATGGCCAGCAGGGGCAGTGGCCCCAAGGGCAGTGCCTGGCCAGGTGACCAGTCCAGTGGTTGGGGTGCAATAGGGGATTGGCCACATTTGCCCTGCTGGGCCTGAGTGTCTCTCCGTTCTGTCTCCAGACCCTCTCTCTGATGCTGTGTCTTGTGTGAGCGCCTCTCTCTCCCCTCTCCCTCCCCGCCTTCTCCCTCTCTCCCTTCCTCTCTCCCTCTCTCTTTGCCGTTCTCCTTCTCTCTTCCTCCGTCCCTGCCTCTCTCTCTCTCTCTCTCTCTCTCTCTCTCTCCATGCCTCTCTCCCTCACCCCTGTCTCTGCCCCTGTCTCTCCCAATTTCTGTTTCATGGTCTCTGGCCCACAGCTGCTCCCCACCCCACCCATCCCCAAGTGTGGGAAACAGTGCAGGCCCCAGCCCCTCTGAACCTGCCCCAGCCCCTCTGAACCTGGCCTGGGGCCCTGTTCTCGAGGCGGCCTGGGAGGCGCCATCCTCCTTTCCTATCTGGGGTGGAGGGAGCGCCAACTTGGACCAAGGTGCACTCTGCACCCTGTGGCTTTGGGGAAGTGACTGGGCCCTGAACCTGTTTCCCATCTGTCCTGCATGTGGGTGGAACCTGGTCACGCTGCAGAGCCTGGAGCCCAGGGCCCTCATCTGCTGGCTGGACCCAGGCTCACAGGTGTCCTGGGAAACCCCCCAACCCCAACCCCGGTTAGACCCATTTCCCAGGGACATCCAGAAGGTAGACAGGGTTAGCCTGGTGGAGAGACCCGGCCTTGGCGCCTCCCCCAACAGCTCCACCATGGGTCCAGCCAGGCTGCCCTATCCCTGGTGGTCAGGGACTCCCTGGAGGCACCATGTAACACTAGGCAGAGGGGAGGCCTCCCAGCCCCTCCCCTCCTCCCAGGGGACACCCAAGAGGTCCCCAACACCTACTGCAAACGTAAGTGAGGTCCTGGGCACACAATGACTTTGTAAGCACCGGAGAGCTGTCCCAAGCTGTGGGGAGCTGTCCCGGGGTATAGAGAGCTGTGTCGGGGTGCGGGGAGCTGTCCTGGGGTGCGGGGAGCTGTTCCGGGTTGGGGAGAGCTGTCCCGGGGTGGGGAGAACTGTCCCGGGGTGCAGGGAGCTGTTCTGGCGTGTGGGGAGCCGTCCTGGGGTGCGGAGAACTGTCCCCGGGTGGGGAGAGCTGTCCCGGTGTGCACGTGGCCATTGTCTTGACTTCCTATGATCTCCTGGCCCTGTTACTGCCCCTACCTCAGCCCCCTCCTGGCCCTACCTGATACCTGGTGCTCCCAGAGCCCTAAAAAGAGATCCGGGAGGCACTCAGTGGGTGCTGGTTTTTGTTTTCAAAAGTTCTGAGCTCTGTATGCTACAAGCGGCTTTGCTCTGGAGCGCCACGACTTCAAATGGGGGCGCCTGGAGCTGTTCTGAGACGGGAGCACAGACTCTACAGCCCAGCCTCGCTGAGTGACAGCAGGCAGGCCGCCTGACCTCTCCAGGTCCCAGTTTCCCAATCTACAAAATGGATGTAAGGAGAGCCACAGCCGCAGCAGGAAGCCTCCATGAGGAGGGGGACTGAGGAGTGTGTAGTGCAGTGTGGCTGGAGCCGCTTCCCAGACCTCAGCTGTGGGCCTTGAGCTTGTCGGCCACCCCAGGGCGGCCTAGGTTCTCTCGGATTAGGGGGTGCAGGTAGGTTCTGCCGGGAGAAGCCGCCATCTGCAGCCTGGAACTCCCCTTTTCGCAGCCAAGAGAGGTGACCAAGCAGGGGCCTGGAGCAGCCACCTTGCGCTCCCCTGTCGGTGGCGGTCACCATGGCCTCATGGCAGGAAAAGCTCACCCCCGAAACCCCGTTACCTGCCCAGTACGAGGGAGGCTTCCAGGCGGGAGCCGGGACCCACCAGTGAGGTCGTTGCCTCGATGTCCAAAGCAGGACACCCGCCAGGGTGAGAGGCTGCCGCGGGCAGAGCCTCCCGTCACAGGGACCAGTCACACCTCACCAAACCCTGCCGTCACCACCCAAACCAAACGCGGAAGCAAGGGGGAAGTGGGGAAAGGAGCTGATTCCAGGAGGGGTGTCCGCAGGCCTCCAGGGCGAGTCGGGGCCCTGCAGTAGGGAGCAGAGGGAGTGGGAGAGGGCACAGCCCTGCATGGGTAGGATGCCGCAGGGCCTGAGTGAGGGGCGAGGCGGACGTGGACGGGCAGGAGTGCGGCCTGGTCACTGGGCCTGTGGCCTCGGACTCCAGTGAGGCAGCAGGAGGCGCCGGCAGGAGGAGAGAAGGGCCAGGGTCTGAGCGTGATCCCAGGAGTGGCCACAGAGAAGGGACCTCGGCTGGAGGCAGAGCTGGGGCCGCCAGGGCCTGGACTCCGTCTTCCTCCCTGGAGCCACCAGTCCGGATGTGAAGGGAAGGATGGGCGGCAGGAGGCGGAGAGCTCCTATTGTATCTTTGAAATGACCTTGTTTGCCGGAGGGGCAGCTGCTTAAGATTCTGCTATGCAAATGGCTAAGCCATAATCTATAATCCCTGCACGTGCTCGGGAGCAGCTCGGCCGTGGCGCGTCCTGCAGGCCTGTCCCATTGTGGGATGTGGGGCCGAGTCCTGGAACTCCTGAGCATCCCACTCCTGCCTTGGAAAATGGAGGCACTCAGACATGCCATCCCACTAGGACTTGGAGGGGTGGAGCTGGGGTCCCATTCCACTCCCTGGGTCCTGGGCTGACCCATTTCACGGGCCCTGTGTGGTCGTCTGCCCTGAGAGTAATCGTGCAGCCTGGGCCACAAGGAAACAGGTGCAGGAAGAAGCTGAAGAGCATGGGGGCTGGACCTGGGAGTGTGGAGTCCCCTCCCCCTGGAACAGGCCTCCCCGACCTCCCTCTGTGAGGCTGGGCGGAACTGAGGGGAACTGGGCTGGGAGGAAAGCTTCTTGCCCAGGGCCGCCTGCAGCACCAAGGAGGCCTCACTTCTCCATCCTGGGGGCTTCAGGCTGTGGAACAGAAGTCCCCACCTGCCCTGGCCCAGCGTCTGCCACAGGGGAGAGAAAGCAACAGAGAGGGGGCTGGGGGTGGGGACGGGGACCCTCACCCACATACTGCTGGGCATAAGAGCACATCAGCACGGGTCGTGTACACGGGACTTAAGGAGATCGCCTCTCACTGGGCATTTCCTGTGAGGGGAGCTCTCGAGTCCTGGCACATAGGGTCTCTCATGTCCAGCAGCCAGTCCTGCAGGGGAGGTCTGAGTTGGGTCCCACTCTACAGTTAGGGAAACGGAGGCTCAGCTAGGTGAGGTGGCTTGGCCACAGTGGTCCAACCCTGAGTGGACATGGGGCTGGGACTTGAGCAGCGCTGCCTGTGGGCGGGGGGCTGGCAGGCCTGCCCTTGCTTGCCCAGGATCCGCAAACACCTGCTCCTGGCTCGCTCCACCTGTAAGTGCCTCAGGGCCTGGAGCTCTTTCCTGGAACCACTATGGACAAGGTGAATTCCAGCTGATGACACAAGTCATGACTTTTCCATCCCCGCTCTGTCCTGGGCCCTGGTGGCAGAGGTGGGAAGGCTGGCCATGTCTCCAGGGCACTGCTGGCCAGCAGAAGGGACACTCAAGTGTCAGGCTGGGTGTGAGAGATGGGAGGGGCAGCAGGTGGACGGCCCCGGCCCCAGCCCCCCGCTGAGCCATGACGGACACAGTAGAATGGGGTTGGGTGTACACAGGCAGCTAGCTCAGGGCCTGAGGTTCAAGTGGTCAGTCGTGGCTGGAGCATTCGGGCCCAGGTGTGGATGGGGTTCAGAGGGGTCAGGGCGGGGCTCAGTGCCAGGGACTGCAAGGAGCCGTCTCGGTTTTCTTGGCTGTAAAATGGGTATCCTGAAGGGTTTTGGGGGGGCCGTTCGTCCAGATACTGTGCCGTGAGTGATCTGGTGCAGCGTCCCGGCGCTGGGAGCAGGCGGCTGCTGTGAGTCCGGAGCAGGGCTCTGTCCGCTATTTCCTGCCTGAGGCCCACAAAGGGCCCCCACCCAAGGGTCCTGACGGGGCCTGCCTGAGGCTGGGAATCCTCACCCAAGTGTGTGAGGGCGTCGGGCTGGTTATCTGGGCCGAGCTCCATCTGACTAATCTCGCCGGCCGAGCGTCTACGCAAACCTCAAGGCCTGCTATCGGGAGGAGGCTGAGGCGGGGGCCCGGCCTGATGGACAGCGGGGAGATGGGCCGATAGGCGGCGGCGCTCCCTCCCCACCCGGCGTGCGTGGGTGGGAAATCATTCCAGCTATTCTGCCTTATCAGCAGCCCGGCGCTGCCCCCGATAGCACTATTAGTCTTAGATTAATGGGGGGGAGGGGACCCTGGCGGATGGCAGGGGTCAGCCTGGGGTCAGCTCCATAGACCAGACCCAGTGCTGGGTCAGGAGCTACCACCTCTGGCTGTCCTAGGGAACAGGAGCCCACCTGAGGGGTCCCCAGAGGAAGCCCCAGACCCCACCCCACTTCACAGCGGGGCAGAAGGGGCCATGGGGAGCTGGAGCCAGAACCCGAGGAGGGGCTGTGTGTCTCGCAGCCACACCCTTCCCTGGAGGTTTGCTGAGCACACTGGGGCCAGGCGTGTATCAGGTGCTGGGAATAGACAGGGATGGGCCTGCCCTGGACGTGTGTGGTGGAGGGACATGGGCCCTGGAACCAGAAAGAACATGGGTGTCCCGCCCGGGAGCGGTCAAGAGAAGGAGGTGGTGTGTTCATTCAACCAGCGTGTGTATGAGGGACATGCTCAGGCCAGCACAGCCCAGGCCCTCCAGGATCTGCTCTCTGGTGAGGGAGACACCCCAAGTCATGACGAGGTAGGAACGCCACGTATCCGAGGGGCAGGCAGAGCTGGCCTCGCTGAGCCAACGTTTGAGTCCCAAATGAGTGAGGGGCGTCTGGAAACGGTGTCCCAGGCTGAGGGCGCAGTGCCTGAGCCAGGGGCACCCTGCCCATCTGGAGTGAGCGCAGGGGTGAGGCAGCAGCGAACTCAGAGCCTGAGGCCCCATCACGTCAGGCCTGCGGTGGCAGAGGGTAGTTATCTTGGAAACTGAGTTCAGAGGTCGCAGGCTCTGGCCGGCGTGACCCTGGGTGGTTGGCGTGGACACCTTGGCTGCCCCTGGCCCTGAGCCTTCCCATGACACCCTTCCCTCCCCTCTCCCAAGCACTGGCCCCAGGCCTGGGTGGGGGCCGCACCTGGGTCCTGCCTGCACCACCAGACCCCAGGCC